ATATATAAACCCTTGTATTTTTTATTTATTCTTGACGTTGCAGTACACCTTCCGTTATCTTACCGCTTTTTTCATCTAACGAGAAAACTGAATGATCATCATGGGATGGAATCTGAAGGTTATTGTTTAAGCGTTATATTCAGTAGTCACTATAAGAATATAATAAGTGACGAGGTAGTCAGAACAAGTGGCGAAGAGATTATAACAGTTTCTTTTCACACTCAGATTTCATACTAGTACTGAAACAAATCTCAGCTTATTCACAAATTGGCGAACACCCTATTCTAATTGTGTGGATTCTAGTAGACACACGAAATATACTGGGGAATTCTTTAAGCATTTGAAGAAGTTGCTATTTAAAAATTGAATTTGGGTTCATCTCTACAAATAAGTATAGACTTTTCGATTCGATTGATATTGGTTACTTTGAGGCAGTTGACAGGAAGCCCTGTACGTAGGTTTCGTGCTTGTTGAAACTTACCAGCAAGATCTATTTGCAGCCTTAAGGGAACCCTGAATGATTTGAACCCGCATCACCTAGTGCTGCAGTCAGAGAGACCTTACCACTGAGAAACCAATATCAGTCAAATTGCCCGACGATGCTGAGCCTCCTAGCTTGATGGTCACATTGCATATATGATCGACAGAATTCAGCCAGCACTTAAGACCTAGACAAAAGGAAATTTAGTAACTTTCAAATGTCCAACCACTGTGGTTTTCAATTCAGACGTTCGATTTTGTACCTACTTAGTCATAACCTCCAAGTCTCTTAATTTTATTTCATTTTTCTAACAAATCTCTTGCATTAGATATAACTGACAATCTACATGATTTTTACAAAGTCTTCATTGACAATTGCTGATCTTGAGATATGAAACAATCGTTATGTTTTGACAACTCATTTTGATCTAGTTCATTCGCTCTTAGGGGTCAGTGGATGTTGTCCAACTTGTCAATAGGAGGCAATTTTATTTCCATGGTGGTGTTCATCATGAACTGACATCAGCTGGAGAGTCACTGAAAACCTGAGGGCACTGGTCATCTGTTTCGTCTCAGTACGGGACTCCTCAGCAGCGCGCACCCGCACCCCCACAGGGATCTAGCTCAAGGCTATTAGTTTTGATGGTGAGCGTGTTAATGTTAAGCCACTGGGTCAGAATGCAACAGTCCACATTTTCCTACATGATGTCATTCCGTAATGAATGCTACCTTGAAATCAATAAACTCTCACAAACCTCCAAACTGAATTACTGTTCAGTGCCCATCAGTGGCATACTTCGAGATGAGATTCCTCGAAGTTCTCATAAGAAGTCGTGACCAATGAGGTGAACTGTGTTGGGCTTAAGGACAAAAACTCAACGATTGCGCCAGATAAAGGTCACGTTGTATCATGGATTGACAGAAGTAAGAATTGTGAACCACTGAATTCCGACCCAGTGACTCAATGGTATAATGTGCTCGTCGCGGTGGTGTTTTGGATCTATGGTGCATGCACAATGCTGAGGATTCCCGAAGTGACACGAAACACCTGTCCAGTGTTTGAAGGTTTTCAATGGTTCTGCAACTGAAGTCAGTCCGTGACGAATACCAATTTGAAATCAATAACTGCTCACAAACCTGGAAACTGGATTTTATGTTCCACTGAAAAATCCTTCAGCGATTTTTCAGATTTCGCTCAAATTACTAATATATATTATCGTTACTATATTTTTTATTGCTTTTCGAATTGAAATTCATGTATTGTCCTCAAAAACTAAATTTTCTGTGTCCTTGTTAAAGGACACTCAAAATAATTGTGAAAACATAAACAATGTTAATATTCCATGTGTATTCATAGTATTGACTTTGATGGTAATCCTGTCTAAGGAAGGAAACCTGCATATCCGTGTTAGGAAAGAAGAAGAAATAGGACACGCGATGGAATGTATCTCGACGGACACATGGAAGCTGATAGAGGAGGGAGAGGAAGATGGTGGTAGTGAAACAGAAGATGAACCAGTACAGTGCAGTGCAGGGATGAACAACGAAAAGAGGAACTGAACACAACCTATAAAACACTACAATGGACAAAGAAGTGAAGAAGAGTGAGCGGAAAGACAAAAGACACTTCTACAACACACTTGCAACTGAAGCAGAACAGGTTACAGGTAGGAGAGACAGAGACCGGACAACATTATATCAAATAACCAGGTTACTGTCTATGTGGGAGGAGATCAACACAGATGAAACAATGAAAGATAGTGAAGGAAACTTAGTTACCACCATAGAGGAAGAAGGAAGGAAACGATGGGCTGATCGCTTCAAAAACTCTTAAAGTATTAATATAATTTCTGCCTTGAACAAGTTTCTGTAATTAGCTAGGTAATATTATTGGGGTCGACCTTTGATTTCAATTTTAGCTTACCTGCGTGATCACTTGGGTAGCATGAATGGTTACCACATGTTTACCTGTTTGTATATCTTTAATTCTTTTTCCTCATCTAATCGTACCAATCAAAAAATGCACTGTGGTCACTAAGCTTAAGTAAGGAATTTGCGGTGCGAAACAGTCTGGAGGTTTCCTATCAATCACTCTTACAATCTCAGTTTTGATGAACTCATGCTTAACAGATGTAGTTAAGGCCAGTTGTAGTAAAAATGAGGTTGAGATGTTTAATTACGCAATAGTCTCCTCTAGTCTATAAATATCCACATATCCACTGTTTATCGGACTGCAGATCGCTTTGTAAGGAGCCGGTAAAGAACCTCAAACTGCCAGACTCTATCTGACACTGATTTTCATAAGATTTTTAGGGTATGCCTAGTCCCTAAGAAAACCAACTTATAACATGTTTATATTATCACTGTAAAATTAAAACCTTATATTCGGTCCCCTTTTACGCCATGCTACGTTACTTATTTTTACCGCAGTTTAGGATGCTTAACGCTGATTGGTCCACTTTACACTTTTAATATGCTATTTTGTTTCCCTGGTCAAGGCCATCTAAGGATATATAAACGACTGAGTTTTCAACTATCATTATTTGGTTGGAGTAAACATACTTTCACTCCCATTGTCTTCTTCTGATGTCAGCTGAATATCGAGTTGAGAAGTCATTGTTCTATCGTGAATCGTATCGCATCGGAGTAGTGTATTGTTACATATACCGCGGATCATAACAAAGATCACCGACTACTAGTGTCTAATGTTTGGGAATAGTGGATTATATCGATGAATTTCGCAAGAACAGAGAGAGTAAAGTGTGTTGATCGACGTATAATTAATACAGTGAAATAGTGGAGAATATTTGTAGCTCAGGTGGATAGTCTTGGATGTATTGTGTTCTCTGAGCTCGGTTGTTTAATCGTGAAGCTTTCATCGTCTTTCTAGACGACATCAACAGCACTAACTTCAATATCAAGTGAGCTGTCAGTATCTCTCCGTGAGTGATTTAGTAGCTTACCTTGACGAAGTGGTCTGTGATTGGTTGTTTCCTTTGATTGTTGTGTCATTGACTGTATAGACTTTCCTGTCAGCAGTCCCTCTGCTTGACCTCTGACATTTCTGTCGTTTATCATCTTTCTTATTGGTTGATAGATTGGGTCTGTGTTTATACATCTGTTGATTGACTGACTGACTGACTGACCTGAATGCCAAGCTTCTAGAAATTCTCTGATATTTTTTGTGTTTCCTTTGTCCAAAATTTCCACATTGTCGAAATTGAATTCATGTCCATAATTATCCATATGCATTGAAATGAGTGATGAAATGTCATATGTGACGTTTAGTAGCCAATTGTTGTTCATGTAAATGACGAAGGTGAAGAGGGTGACCACTTTGTGGAATGTAGTGTTGACTACAGTTATTGCAGTTGATTTTGCAAGTGATATTCAGTCTGTATTTTTTGTTGTCTCATCTTTTGGTCTGCATGATAGTGTTTGGAGGGAATTTGTTGGTTTATGAGCTGATGATGTCGTCTAGAAGGACGATGAAAGCTTCACGATTAAACAACCCAGCTCAGAGAACACAATACAACCAAGAATTAATACAGTGTTCCGACGTTTTTCCCTGTAACATGACGTTCTTTTTTCATTGCACTTCATCACGATTCACGTTTAATCTTTTCTTGTTTATTGATACTTATAACTTCCCATCGCTATACTCTTTCGAATGTTCTACCTTTGTTAGCAGGTGCGCACTTATGCGGGAGGCCTCGATACTGCTCGGATGTTCATTATATTAGTTTATTTGTAGGCTAGTAGTCAAAGCCAGGACATGCGTTTCGTTGCATCTGGGACTTGTTGGTTAAAGTGACGTTTCTCTCAATGGGACTGGAACCGAGTACCCATCGCTTCAAACGCCAAAGCGCCACCCACAAGACCACTGGGACACGAGAGCCATCTCTTATGCAACGGGTATCATTTGTTGTTTATTGCTACTTGTAACTTCCCGTTGCTATATCGAGTCGAACTGCTCGACCTCTGTTAGCAGATGGAATAACGCTTTGGTGTTTGAAGTTATGGGTACTGGATCCCAGTCTTGGTGGGGGATAACATCACTCATTTAGAGACAGGTGCACCTAGTTGAAGAGTCCTAAATAGGGTGAAACGCGCGTCCTAGATTCCACTGCTAGCCTGTAAATAAGCTTTTTTCTCTGATGTTGAATCTACTCGAAGTTAGACAAATATGACTATTATTAGTACGTAGGGATGAAATGGATATTGATTGTTTTTGTCTGATCATTCTCATTGAGCAGTTCTGGCCGATTTGATTCGTTTGTTTCTGAGATATAACAAATCTCGGGATTTTCACCCAAATTTTCGATGAAGAGTGGTCATCAGAGACAGTTTATTAGATAGACCGTGGTAGATAATTCTCAGATTAAAATGCTTCTTCCCACTTGTATATCTATGTATATGTGATTGTATTTCAATATAGACGTACCTTTGCTAAAAAAATGAGACACTATTCATTCTTATATGCTCATTACTTATTGTTTTATTTACCATCCTTTTCTCAGCTCCTCCTGCTCAACCACGAAACTTTCCACGGTACTACCAAAATGATCCTGTGAGTCGATAATTCACTTCATTTGTTATTTTTTTTTGAGTTTTAGTTTTCATTATCATCGATGTTAAAATGTGTTATCTTCATCTTCCCTGCTAATAGTTTTTTTTTGAGGTGGATACTCGAAAATATTTGATATGAACTAACCATAAGGAAGCTGCATTACAATATTGATTAACGGGATAACTTGTTCTATTCTAGAAATCTCAGTCAACAAATCTACATTTTTTTCTCCATATCCTGCAACCCAACAGTTAATAATTAACAAGAATGAATGTTTGTGTTCAACGAACTGACTTCACTTCCTCTCAAATCATTTTCTCTATTTCATGAGTTTCTATGGCTGATGAAGAACCTTACTAACCAGTATTGATTTTGTCGAAATACTACTTTCGACTCATTAATATATCTCAAAGAATTCATTGGTTTTTCTTGATTTCACTAACCATCGAACTAGCATTTCACTATAGCTATTGTAAGCGTTTTACTCAGAAAATAGCATAATATGGATGACTTTGAGGTTTGAAGGTCGAAAAATTCATCACCCTGAGCAATTCCAGTTAATTATAGCCACCCAGCAGTTAGATGCTCAGTAAGAGTACAACAGTTTACCAAGTAGATGTCTCACGAGAAACTCTTCAGTGAATTACTTTGAAAAGTGGTTCATTTAGTGAATCTGATGCACTAGTAACATAGCTGCAGAGTTCTATGCTTCCACAGTCCGTCAGTACTATTCCACTTAACAATGAAGAATTCTTAATAATTGGAACTCTATAGGGCATGTCTAGTTCAGGGATTCTACTCTATCCTTCTCAAGGATAGGGTTATTATGACTAATTTAGATAGTTCTATGACGCGTTGAGATTAGGCTGTTCTTGAATTCATCTTTTAAAACACCCTTGCTGTATATTCGACATCACATATCAAAAAGCATAGACTGTAGTCATATCAGGCATTGTAAGAGTAATGCATCAAAATACTCAAGAAGAGTAGACTGAGTTTCATTGACGTCATGTATCTATTGTTCACGCGTTCACTCTGCCCGATGCTAGGTATCTATCTCACTTATTACAAACAAATAGCATTCTTTAACCCTAAAGTAACTTAATTTGTTGGAAGAGATAATGTGACAATATAATAGCCACCACGAAAAGCGTTACTGTACTCACTATGACATAGTCACTGCTGTGCAGTGTCAAGCCTTATAGTAGCAAATCAACCATCCGGATAATCATATGAAATCTAAAAGCAGTAATCTGCAACCTGATCGATAACTGCCGGCGGTTGAGCTCGCATACCACAGTTATCCAACGAGCCATACTGACAAAATCATTGATCCTTGAGATAAAAGGGAGTTACCCTCAAGGTGTAAAGTGCTTTCCTATGATGGGGGTCTGAGGACAGAGTCGTGCCGCTGACTGGATGGGGGGGGAAGCCGTAATGTATCTTTTTTATGGGAACTGCAGTTAGGAAGGTCCATCTCCTAAATAACACGCTCTCACCTGTTCTGCTGTATTCTGGTGCCCGTTGTACAGGTTTTCTAACTGGATTTAAGTCAGTCTTAGCCAAACCTCGAATTTCTTAGAAAGAAAGAACGTTCTTTGGGCTCTGCGGTCATGCACCTCTATTACTAATCCAAATCCTTTTTCAGGTGCCTCAAGAAGAAGTAACCTTCCTCGGTATGGGCAGTGGGGAAGTAGGAACCGCTCTCTAAGCACTTATTTTCCCTCGGATCATTTTCAACCTTCGACATCTTAACCTTCTAGCCGTTTTTACGTCTCTCGGCCAATATTTCTACGCCACCTTCAATTTTGCCCAGACCCGCTACCCTTTCGCTGACCCCCAGAAAAAGATTGGTGAGCGTCAGTGGATCTCAGCAACTTCTGAAATGCATTCTTACAGGCTCTGAGCACAATGAAGAGTCTTAGCAACTCACTTGTACGCTGATAAGGATTCTACACAATGATCGTGAGTGAGGGGGGGGGGCAGCGAAAGCTAAAGAGATGAAAAAGTCAGTGGAAATAAGCTACAGTAGGTAGTTATTTAGACTGATCAAAGAAGCTGGGGCAGCACAGCCAATAACTAGTTGACCTATAACGAAAAAGGATGGATATGCGATCTACTTGCAGGGAAGACAACAAGAGTGATGTGCAGAAAGCCTTGAGGGACATTTCAACTGACGTCCAGCTACTACTTCTTTACATATTATCTAGTGAGATCCTCAATGAAACACAGATTAGGCCCTCCAGCTGTTACACAAGTTGAAAAGATTATAGGTAACTTAAAAAGAGGAGGGACACCAAGATCAGGTGGGTTATTATCGAGGTATTTAAGAACAGTAGTCGAGAATTATTGTTTAGGTTAGCTGAAGTGCTAGCTGGCATATGGAAATCAGATATGATCCCTTTTGACCCGTCCCAATCCTCAGGAAAGAGGAGAAATTCTCTTGTGATAACCTCAAGGGAATCAGTCTAACGAACATAGTGTCTAATATCCTGCGTTCTGTAATCAATAGATTTTCAAGTGAATTTAGGGAATAGCAAACCCGGTAAGTCCACACAGGTTTCAGATCTGGTCGTGGGTTTATCGACCAGATACATACCTGCGTCGGGTATTGAAACGTAGACACACTAACACCTGACAATAAACTGAAGGCGGCATTCAACTCTGTCGATCATGAGGTCTTATGGCAGTGTTCCTTGGTGATGTGGGTGCCATATAAAAACACCAACCTATCGAAGGCTCTATATTCAAAAACCCTTTGGTCTGTTGAAGGCTATGGCCAGTTATCAGATGAGTTGTGCTCGTCAAGAATGACAAGATTTAGAGTCTTCTGGATACATTGAATAGCAATTTTAGAATGTTTGACATATGTTTCTCATCACCTAAGCGCAGTTTTTTGCTCTAAGACTGATATGTTAAACAGTAGAGAGTGAAGGGGTTGAGCGCGTTGACCACTTCCTTAGGAAGTTGGATCAACCTTGGTTGGTCAGTGACCGACGAATCTGAGCGTGGATGCAAAAGGCTCACTTGGCTTTTGCCTAGCTGTGTCCTTTATGATTCTGCCGTGATAGCCGACAGCCTATTAAGTGTCCAGTATGATGCAATGCCGCTGACTCTTTTATACTGTACAGCTGTGGAACGTAACCATTAAAGGTAGAAGCCATGAGATAACACGCGTTCGGTGATCGTTGTCTTCGTAACACAAGCTGTGTCGTGGTGCCATCATATCAGTAATGCCGTAGTCAGGCCTAGAGTTGTACTTAAGGGAGGTTAGTTAGCTTGAATAATTTTTGAACCTCCGTCAACTGAGGTGGCTTGGATATTTATTACCCATACCTACTCACTGTTAGCCTCATTACTCAATATTGTATGATGTAGTTTCAGGTTGGGAAGAGGTTAGAGGTGGTCTGACTGAAACATGGCGCTAGTTCATGGAGTCTTTGGTCTGAACCAAGAAGAGAAATTTAGACTTCCCGGTTGGCGTTCATGTGAAAATCAACATCTGGGGTTGGAGGCAGACTCTAGATGAAATAGTTGAGAACCAACCTTAGTGATGCAGAAGTATCCACACGTTAACTTGATGTCAATAGTTATATCACATTTTATTACTGCACCATTTCTTTTTATTCTCTGTTTGTGACTTCCTGCTACATTTGATTACTCTCTTCCTTATTTCTCTGTTTCATCTTGATGCCTTACACTTTAATGTGCTGATTTAGGGAGGTATGGCAACTTAAACGGTTCGACAGCAATCTCAGGTCTCACACTGATGTTCTCTTGGATACTAATCTACAGATGAGCCTGATGTCATACATCACAACCTATGCACTCGGTTGGATGGTTTCGAACTGAAACCCTGCTACCACCTTAAAGCCAATCGATCCAGAAAGCTTTTTATGCATGGGATTTATGACTAGTTTGTGAACTGATTCGTTTTCTTTATAGTTGAATTATATTTCTCTCAAATATCTACCTATCTGCAAGTATTTTAAATTCATACCTTTCTTAATCTTACCCGTTTGTTGATTTTATCGGTTGCACTAGAATCATGAAATTTACGCCAAGGTGTGACACGCATAAAAAGAATATTTATTCATGAGAATTCGATTCCACAGTCCATTATAAATTTGACTGATATGATAGGTTTCCCAGATGATTAGTAGTTTTTTTGGGATATTAAATGACTTTTTCAGGCCTTTAGTTTTCAGAAATAAGGATACTTGACCGATGAACTGGATTAATCCCAGTTATTGTTGTTACTATGGAAATGCAATCTAGTTTTGAAAGTATTTACAGAAGGTACAGAAACACTATGTGCTCCGGTAGAGAGAGTTCCAACGGTTCATAACTCTTGGGGGGAGAAATGTATTTTTAGAAGTCGGCAATTCAACGGCAATTTATGAACTTTTCGATGACGTCTTCTGAAGTCAACAGTTATATTTCGTACTCATTGTGGCGTTTAAAGTCTTGACTATTTATTAGTAGTCTAAATTTGTTCTGTTTTCTAAGCGTATGGCGGAATTACACATGCAAGTCTATGTGATTGGGTTGAAAAACGTTTTTAAGCTAAGGCATTTCTTTTTGTGCCAATTCAATAAATATCCTATTTCATTAAAGCAGAGTGTATTCGTATTGTTCATTATTGCTTATCAGATTTTGTCCATAGTTACACGAAGTACCCATTTATCAACGAAAACTTTTTTTGTTGGGTTTTGACTGAAGGTGAGATGACAATTTAAGTTATGGCAGGATTCGAAACAGCGACCTCCTAATTGTCAACTCTAATGAACATTTTTTTGCTCTAATTATGACTGCTAATTAGCGTCCTTCGATCAGGCTCCACAAATGACTGTTTCTTCGAAGATTTATGCTTGCTGACACATACTAGCGAAATTCATCTGTGACTAAGATGACCAATTGAAATATTCTCAGTAACCACATGGATGTTTGTGCAGTAGGCAATGAGTCACATGTGACGTATGAGGACTAATCTAACTGTCGAAGTTTTGATTGGCGGGGTGGAGTGAGTTCGAATTCATAGTCCACTGGTTGGAATTTTAGTGTCCAGACCAAATGAACCGCAGGTCCACACTATGACCAGTAATAACCGCCTACAAGTTATGCAAGCAGTTAGTTATCTACTCCGTGGCCTTGTGTAGCCACACATATTGGTTAGCTGTCAGGGGTGTACATGTACTCTCTCTTACCCCTGATAATATCACTTAGTTTGGTATTATTTTCTTCATTATTCAGGAAGTTTCGTTTTTATATATTGATACAAATTTCAGTTTACACTTAGTAAAATGATGAATTGCAAGTCATGAGGTATTTCGTAGGTGATTTAATCAATGATGAATGATATGAATTACAGTTGAATGAGATCAAAATTACTTGTTGGTCAAAAATCAAGCTTTGGATGGATTATGTTTCACAGTGGTCATTTATTGTTACTTGTATTTTGCCGTCGGTATACTATACTGTCCGGATATTCGTTATATTGTTGTCTATTTGGTGGCTAGTAGGGGACGCGCGTTTCGTCGCATTTGGGACTCGTCAACTAAACGCATATACACCTCAGCGAGTGACGTTGTTCCCACTGAGACTCAAACCTAGTATCCATCTCTCCAAACGCTTATCGTTATCTACTAGGCCACTGGGGCATGAAAGCTATCAGTTTTGCAGTGAGCACCAGTTGTTGTTTCTTGACATTTGTAATTTCCCGCTGATATACCGGGTCGAATTGTTCAACCTCTGTTAGCCACCAAATAGACTACAATATAAAGTTTCACAGTTTAGAACTTCAGTTTTCATCGAACAGCATGACTTGGACAAGCTACCTATAGTTTGATGCATTGAAGATGTGATAGCAATAGTGAAAATAGACGGCAAACAGGGTTTGTTTGCAACTTTTCTTGATGTTCAATCTGGTGATGATTTTCCTTTCAAGCTCATAGCCTTGAAAGATTCTTATGAAAACTGCGTAATTTATATTACACTTTATTTCTCATGGATTCCATCGGAATTCATTTCATTTCTTCTCTTATTACCTTATATATTATACAGGTTGTTACTTCGTCCAGTGGATACATGGTAAGTGAGGCTACAACTCCTACAAGTTGTGAACCAGCTGGTCGGCGTTTGACTGAAATAGAAAAAGAAACCCGTTCACGAAGTAGCAGTAATAGTAGTTCAAATCAAAGGTGCCACAATACTACTAGTAATAGTCATCACAATACTGGTGACAATTCTGTACACTCAAAACATGCCAATCAGGCAATTTCTTCGAATGTTACCAGTCAGCATTATCGTACTACACAAAATGTTAATCTGATTCATTCAAGTCCGATATGTTGTAATTCACAGTCAGAATCGATTCAAACAAATTCCAGTTACGATACAGTACGTCCAATAAATTTATCGCCGGGTAAATTACGGTCAAGCTTCGTATTAAATCGACCAAGTTTACCTCTGAAAAATGATTCTGTAAATGGTAAACCGACTCCTCACCCCGCTTATCCTCGTCATCATTCGTGTGATGAGAATTCTTCACAACCTTCAGTTTCGGAACTCAGGAAGTTATCATTGGATGAACCTTCTTCAATCGAAGATAATACTAATAATGTTGATAAGCATTCTTCTCCTACTAGACTGACACCATCACCTATTGTGTTTTCTTCATCGATTAGTGATCGTTCAGATAACAATAATACTGCAGTACCACCGCCTTTGTTTGCTGACCATCAGGATGTGATCACTTCGCCTATTGTAGCTCCATCTACAACTAGTTCTCCTGATAATTCAGATGTTGGTGGAATAAATGAAAGAAGAGAAGGGGAAGAAGAAGATGGTATTCAAAGCAGATCAATATCTCCTGTGTGTAGTTCTTTTTTACTGCCTCCACCTGTTCCATGGAATTTAGATTTATCCTCTGAAGTGGATGAGACAACTCCAAGTTTGTTTGTAGACAGAAAACAAATCATTATGAATAATAACTGTAAAAATGAAGCAAATAATGAAGATAAATTTAATGATCTAGCCGTTGATGCATCTCATCATCAATATTTCTGTCATAATGTTGAGAACAGTCATTCCAAGTCACGATGTCAAAGTAAAGATTCTCTCTTATCAGAAGATATATGCTGCTTGGAAGACTCATGTGATAATAATAATAATAATAATAATAATAATAATAATAATAATAATAATAATAATGGTCGAAATCACAATCATAATAACGATTCACCTGAACTGTCACCAACGCATCATTTAGATTTCGATAGTAGTATTGGAATTTCAGATGTTAGTGATAGTAACACATATGCATTCAGCACTTTGGATTCAGAGTGCTTAGCATGGATGCGTTTAAGTGTACGTGATGTTACAAATCGTTTCATTGAGGAGATAGATTCATCATCGGCATTAGAACTACCTGATTTGGATACATTGTCTCGACCATGTGTTCATCATTGGGTAGATATATTCAACTCAAATCCTTTGGGTTTAAGACTAAACTTTGTAAGTTTTTCTTTTCTCTTTCAAATAATTATGTTCAATATATTTTGTTATCTTGTCGATTCAATGAATCATATTGATCAGTATTAATTGGTTACTTCTTTGGTTGTTTCAACACCACTGTGGACTGAATTTTGTTGGTATTTATTAGTGGGAATATAGACAGTCACCTGGATAGTTGGTTCAACCTCTAATATCAAGACCTAAGCAAAAAGGACACTGTGCATTACCAGACATCATCAGAATTCATATTTATCTTGAATTTGGTGTGTATTCAAAGATGGATAGATATTGATTGTTACATATTTCCCAATCTAAACTACTAATTTTGAAGAATGATGCCTATTACTGTATATTTAGTTCGAAACTATCTCTTGTACAATACTACATATTCCACTTTTCGTTTAATCGATTAGCCACCTGCTCTCCTGTTGTAACACATCAAGCATTTACTAACAGTTTCCAATTTCTAATCATTCCGAGATTCCGTCATTGAAAGTTTTTTTTACGACAAAAAACAATAATCAATGATCGAGAGTCACTAGTTGGAATCCGGCCGCAATCCAAATTCTCATTTCACCTTCAATCATCATCTAGTATTAATACTAATCTACCAAACTACGACTATCTCAGATAGTGAAATCATAATCAATACGGTGCTTCCCCTTTCTGACTTAGTTAGATTTGAATTGGGATGAGAAGCCTTGACTGGGCAGCCAGTGTGAATACGATCAAGTGATAGTAACGCGTCATGAATTCACAAAGTAGTCGCGCAAAAGCCTTGGTGATTGAAGTGAAATAAAATGTGGTTAGCAGTCGGACCTTGTAGCTCAGTTGGTAGAGCACCGGACCGGAAACCCCGATGGTCGGCCGAGGTCCAAATTTTCATCTCAACTGCAATCACCACCCATTATCAATTAATCATTTGTTTGCATGTTTTATTGGCTATAGTTACTGTAGTTGATGTTACTCGCATCTGTAGGAAACACGATGAACTTTACTTAATTGATTTATTTGCTTGCGATAGCATAGTTTACTGCTTTGTTACCTTTTCATTTTCATCCTTTCCAACTTGAAGGTGAATAGGTTTGATCTTTCGTATTTACCGTTCTTCTCTTCTCCCCTTTTGATGTATATAATTCTTGTTTTTTTTCGCCGTTTAGACAGCCAGGTGGCTAGATCAATAAGATTGCTTTGTCGTTCAAGTTTTGTTTGTCTCTGACTCATCATCAGGTTGTTTTGCCTTCACCTCTTTCTTCTTTATGCACTAGGGTTGGTGAAAGAGAGAGAGGGGGAGCGAGTATGATTGCTGATAATGAGGGATAGGTGTCTGCATACGACGCGATAACTGAAGTTGTTCAGTAAGCGCATAACACAGAATCCGAACCACTTAACAGCTTCATAACTGAGTGTTTACTATGAGTCTTAAGGATTTTAAGTGATATGCTATGATTCCTCTATTTTCCGATAATTCGTTAAATATTTTCGTGTGATGATAGAAAATAGTTTTAGCATAAGTTTATTCTACAAAATCATAAATCTTTCAGCTTTACAGTCAACAATTTACTAACAGAGATAAGTATTTTGAGGTTGTAATCAAAAGCTGTAACTTATACTATTGAAGAAATTAGGAGTGACGATTTATTCAAATCTAAAACTTCGAGAATAGTTCGCGATACATAACTTCTGCTGAAAAACGCTTCTTCCACTGAATTCATATTCCTTTATTTTCAACATAAGTATATGATGATGAAGTTATGTTGCTTACTAAAGTCATAAATGCTTATGAACTAGGTTTATAGGTACATTTAATAGCCTACTTTATGGTAGCTAGCGGTGGAATTCAGGATGTGCATTTCATCCTATTTGGGACTCGTCAGCCTGTTATATCTGTATCCTAGTGAGTGATGTTGTTCTCACTGAAACTCAAACCCCAGTACCCATCGCTCCAAACACTAGAGCGTTATCCACTGGGGCATAAAGGCCGCCTTGTGTGCAATGGGTATCCGTTTTTTTTCCCATTGCTACACTAAATTGAATCGCTTGACTTATATTGGTACATAGGCTCCCAATGAGGGCGAAGCACATGTCCTGGATCCCATCGATTTTTAGAAGCAACGATGGTGGATATTACTAGCTAGTAACTCAGTTTCTAAGTAGCTGTTCACTGTTATAAGAAAGAGCTTCGAGGTAATCAGACCAATGCATGACACCAATATATGTGATTCAATCATTTAGGTTTAGTTATTAGAGAGCGTGGGTTACCTGACTAGATTCTCTGTGGTGTTAGGAGTCAGTGATTTCAGAATTGCGGGTGACAGTGGTCAAATTCGGTTGCGGCGATTCAGGTGTACCCATTTCTTATCTTCCTTAAGATTTGGAACATCCCACTGGTTTTTGTCGATCCCTCATCCATTCATTTTCTATTTCTTATTGGTTTTATTTTGTTCTGTAACTTTGTTGATTATTCGCATGCCTTGCGTTGTGTGATAACTGGCGCCGAGGTACCTTGTGTGAAACTGCACCCTATATTTGTCTATGTCTAGAGTTGGTAATGCACATATTCCTTTAAATTGCTACCTGTGTCTTCCAGCAAAATGTCACCGTTGATTTATATTGATCTTGGTGACTAGCAGAGGAGTCCAGGACGCACGTTTCGTCCTGTTTAGGACTCGTCAGCTGAATGTATCTGCACTCCGGTGATTGGCGTCGTTCCCACTTAGGCAACAGGAGACTACAAGTATCATTATAGTGGCAACCGTGCTCCGGTGGCTTAGTGGATAATGCTGTGGCTTTTTGAGAGAAGGGTACTAGGTTCGAGCCCCACTGGGATCAACATCACTGGCTAAGGTGCATGTACACCCGGCTGACGAGTCCCAAATAGGACGAAACATGCTTCCTGGATTCCTCTACTAGTCACCAAGATTAATAATAGCATCATGAATATTCAGCACTATCGAGGCATCTGCATAGGAGCCCATCTGCCAACAGAGGTCGAGCAATTCGACCCTGTATAGCAACGGGAAATTACAAGTTTCATTGTCACCGTTGAGCTTAAGCATGTGATTTTAAGTAAAAGAGCTCAGTCGGTGATAAGTTTGTGAATTTCAACGTTGGGAAGGGTTAGGACATCTGTCACTCTTACCTAGTAGTTATCATGTTGAAATTCACAGCCTTCTGTAAGTGAATGTAATGGTACATTGCGACCAGTGTTTGAATTCGTTGACCATTCGTTTGGTTGTTGTGTCGTGTTCTATGTATACGTATCAGATGCTTCTAAAAACTAATGATTGTTGGTGGAACAATAAGACTCATGATAATAGTCATTGTAGTAATAATTATTCCAACATGCTATAGTGTTACGAATAACAGAAATACCTGGCATCAGGATTCGAATTCATGACTGATTGACACTGATTGACTGACAAAATCAGCATACAACCTCGCACAAAATTCCACCACCTCAAGTTGCCACACTTCATGGTAGTATACAAGGAACAGGCGGATGGGAAAAGTGGAATCAAAGTAGACAATGCTGTGTAAGAGACTTCAGTACAGTATATTCGTCGTTTGATAGATATTCAGATGTCTCACCAGCTGGGGCCAGATATGACGCAAGTTGGTAAATGCCAAACTAACCTTTTGTATCCGAGCTGAGATTTTGTCACCAACCAGCCCGTTTTGGGCTGATGCAACTGTCCAATTAAGTGAAGTGATCTGCAAATTTCACCACTTCACTTCCCGTCATTAAACTGGGAGTACTTGTAGCAGACCAGTCATGGAGCATCATCTTGCATTTGACAGATGCGGAACACATGCTAAACATACGTGGATTTCTGCACAACGCGAGTAGAAGACCTAGGATCTTATCAGAGTCCTTCACCTAACAGGACAATATCGTCTGCCATGACTCATTGGTAAAACATTGAGTGCGTAGAACACTGAACTACAATTTCCGTTCGTGGCATCTATATGTTTTCCTTTCCTTACGAACATCTTAATCCATTGACATAAGTTAATGATCTACGAAAGTTTTGTGAACACCCTATCTAAAGTTCCGATGGTGAAAGACAACCAGTTAAACACCCTTGGCATTCAAGAATAAACTAGCTTTTGTCGCTGGTTTTTTAAATTCAGTTTCAAGATATGTGCGGATAGATTAATTTGAAGGTGAGGCCCAAAGATCTTGGGTTCGATTCCTGTTGGGGTTATGGATGTGCTCAGTCGAGATAGTTGTGACCATTCATCGACTGAGATGGTTGGGACAGCGGTTACGTATCCCGACTAATCGCAGTCTGCCTCATCATACAATGTTGGCCGAAGTACGTTTAGGCTGGAAAAAGGCCAGAGGCGACCAGACTAAAACATGGCATCAATGTATGAAGTGTTTGACTGTTGGTTTGAGCCATGTGGGGCGATGCAGACTGGGTGGTTGAGGTCGGCGGGACAAGAGGAACCAGTGGTTGGAGACTCTAGGTGATATGTCTCAGAACCGATGTCAGTGGCGCAGGTGTATACACACATTATCCTCATCTTAACGACGCTATACCGAATCTCACCATTTTTTCATTCCTCCGTTCTTTCTTCTCGTACTTTATATTTCTTTTGACTGCATTCTCTTATCTTCACCTCACTACCTTTTTACTTGATGTACTGATATGAGGTGTGGCAACTCGGACCGTAACGCAGTAATGCCTGGTCCAGTGTTGATTTGGATGGATGGATATCAATCAATCAATCAATATCAACGTAGGATCAGGCATTACTGTGTAACGGTCCGAGTTGCCACACCTCATATCAGTACATCAAGTAGAAAGGTAGTGAGGTGAAGGATGAGGATAAGTGAATGCAGTCAAAAGAAATATAAAGTACGAGAAGAAAGGAAAGGGGAGCGACAAAATGGTGAGATTCGGCATAGTGTAGTTAAGATGAGGGTAATTTGTGTATACATCTGCGCCACTGACATCGGTTCTCAGCCATATCACCTAGGGTCTCCAACCACT